CGCACGCTAAAGATATAAGATAAATCATTTTATATTCGTTAAATTTTAAAACATACGATATTTTTTTGAACATATTCGCTTCGCGCAAAAGAAAAATTATATAATTAGAAACTCTAGAATAGTTGAGTCATGTGTTAGAAATAACTAACCAGGTAAAGTAAACATATGTTACATATGCCGTTGAATAAGAAAAAAAGGAAGAAAAAAATTATGGGTTTTAGGTTTTCTATTGAAAATTTTTTAGTCGGTGCACAATGTTGCCCGCTGCCTGTTTTATGAGCCGTACTCCATTGAATAAAAGTCGGAAAATATGAAGAGAAAAAACGGAGAAACTAAAAGAAAAAAGAAACGATGTCAATTCTCCGTTTTTTTTTTACCTCACATGATTCTTCTTTATATTTCTGAACTTTGAAACGTAGGGATTCTTAGAATATTTATATTGCCGCTTCTTATTGTTGTGTAAATATGATACAATAATTATAAAACGAAAAGTAGAACACTATTCACTTTTTAATGCTGATATCAAGTGAAATCATGATATCTTCTCTAGAATCCTACCTAATATCCCATATATCTATATTGTATATCCTACATGATTCTGATTGAATACTTTACGAGAATGAAAACAGTATCAGCTAATAAGGATAAATTAAATAATATAAATATTATGATATGAATTAGTAAAAATTATTATCTTATTGTTAGAATATCAACAGAAATTGCAAAATGATAATAAAGCATAATCTAAAATTATAAAACATACAATCAACAAAATATTAACGCATTCTGAAAATATGATAATGCAAATTATTTATCGTATATTTTGTTCACTGTAAATACTATAATTTATAATAGAATTCTCATTATATAATTGTAAATCTCAATAATTTTATCGTAATAAAAATGAAGATATACAATTTTGCAAAAAGCTGATAAAAAGTATTATATATTAAATAATTGTGGAATTAAAGCGTTATTTTTATCTCAATAAGAATAGAGAAACATGTTTAAATCTTTTGATGAAATCACAAAAAAGCAGTGCAATGTGCAATTGATATCTCGGAATTTTTCTAGGACGTGTGCAAGGTAGGTCAGGGTCTGATTGCAGGAAGGAAGCAGTTAGGCCCGGTTAAAGTCGTTAAGCCAAGTTTACGAGGTGTTACCGGGAGCGTAACCTGTAAATCTCAAAGGTATGAGAGAGAGAGAGAGAGAGAGAGAGAGGAAAGAGAGAGAAAGAGAGAAAACGCGTGCCAGTGGCCGCCCTTGGAAAGGCCACGGAAGGGGTAATGGATATAACCGGGATGTAAGAACCGAGGTAAGACTACTTGAGCGCTATAAACGCTTTTATGGATCGTAAAACGTCTTCCTTTACAGCCAATAAAGATCCCTGACCTACCCGTTTGGCGAGCGGGTAAGTGAACGCGCGCGCGAAGAGGCGATGGTGATCGCGCATCGATCTGTCGAAATCACGCTTTACTACGCAATAAAATCACGCGGCGTCGTACTTTATTTTCTCTTCATGGGACTGCGAATCGCGGGTTTATTGGATTATTGACCGATAGCTTCGGGAATGCATTCGCGGGGAAAATGTGAATAGCTCTGCCGACTCAGCACGGTGCGCGTTTTATACGACACCAATACCAGCATGCGCGCGCACGAGCGCGTCGCGCCGATTCGACTCACCACGCCGAGAAACAGGAAGGTCGTGAGTTACTATATAACCACGTCGATAAAAACAAACCATAAAGCGCATTACGGGCGATCATCGAACTACCGCTCAATATATCCTGCTTGGTGGGTAGAGGCAACCTCTAAATTAAGTCACGTACCGACCGAGAAGTCGGTAAGGAAGACAAAACGTTATCGACCGAGTAACGCCGATTCGTGCTGCCACCTATCAAGAGAGTGATACAAGTGCATATAAAATAAGTACCTGGCGGAGTGTTACATGGAGCAATTCAAATTTTAAACGTTATTTTTCATATCTCTTGTGTACTTTATGTATATCTACTGACAATTAATGTAGTCAATGTATAATTTTATAATTTTGTGTTATCAAACAGTAATAAATTTTTATATTAAATAATAAACCAACGCCAAAAAACAGATATCCACGCCTTAGCCACGCCCACGAACGGAAGGATGAAGCAGCCATAACTTAACCCAGAAACTATTGAAATCGATAGATGGCATTACCGTTGATATTCATAAATTTTATGTATACATATATATATATATGGATGGAATATGAAGAAAAAAAAGAACTCACAAGATTTAAAGAATATCTATTAGTTTGATTTGATAAAAAAAAGTTAAAAGTTTAGACGCAAATAAAAAAAATAATACTAATTAATTATAATTGTTACAGTCAGAAATGATCTTGATTATATCAATAACTTGCTCGTTTTTGTTTAAAAACATGTTTGCCGTGCACAATAAGGTGTGTATATTACATGTACAGATCTACATATACATATGTATATCGTATATTTACATTATAGAATCATTTTTCATTTAAAACATTTAATTCGACTATTTTTGCGATAAAATTGTCTCTTTTTGTTACACTCAAATAAAGATAAATAAAGATTAAATATTAAAAATATGTATTTTTTGACACAAACATAATAAGAACATTTACAGACTATCCTAACTTGATAAATGAATTATTGATGTTGCCGCAACCATCTCATATATTGACCATTAAAATTCTACTAAATTGCTTTTTCATGTACACTTTCTTTCTCTCTCTATCAAAATTTATATCTTCACATATATCTAAATCGACTCACAGAAGCAAATGTACGTTTCTTTTTCGGATAATGCATTCAAAATTCAGAATGATTTACTTTTACGAAATTCTTTATGTGGCAAAAACATATTTCTTTATCCGCATTTGCTTTATTTGTTAAACGTATTAATCATAAAGAATAAAAAATTAAAAAACGTACGTAATAGAAAAGTTAAAAACATAAGAAATAATAAAATATCAAATCACAACAAACAAAATAATTTTCAAATTTTAATTATCTATATTTCCGTTAAGTGGACCATTTATTACGTTTCTATGACTGTGGCAGAAATCGATAACGATTCTATTTCAAGATTACTAGTACGATTACTTTGATATGGGCGATTAAATAAGCACGATTAAATAAATATTACCGGCGGAGAGTTATTTAATCGCGTTTCAAGTGGCGTACAATTACGGTGCAATCCACGGAGTTAATCGGAGAATCGCTTCGCTGGCGTAATATTACGTGCAATCGGGACGAAATTTATGCCCGAACTTCTTCGTCGCCCGAAGATACCAAAAAAGAGATATTAAGCGCCCCAGTAGGTTCCGAAGAATAAGGAGTTTAGATCATAGCTCTCTGCCTGGCGTATTTCCTTTCTGCCGCAGACGTTTTTAAATATTTTGAGAACGTATATGTAATAAATTAGTCTGTGATTGTTTTTGTGCAGTGTTTCTACTTATATTTAACGTTTTACGTATATTATATGAAAAAAATTTAGTTAAAACAAATTCTGTCTTCTTATAATTGAAAAACTTCAAAACTACATAATCTTAAACATTTTTTTTAAATAAAAGATATTTTGCAGTCGATAAAAAATAATTGCATTTGTTAAAAAAGAAAATACGTACGCAACATAGGTAACTGAGAATCGTGTAAGCTAGTGGGAGTATTTCTAAGGCCTGTTTTTTTTAGCTCAAATAGGGGAAGAGTCATAAATGTGTCTTCCAGCAGCGACAAAGATCCTTGTAAAAGTGTAAAAAAAAACGAAGACCTTTTTTTTACAGTTGATATTGTGTTGACCGAGCAATTCAAAGGAGCATCTATTTTCCGAGAATGGATAGTTGGCCCTCGAGTAAGGGAAATATAAATTACGCAACGATTTTTTTGTAATAGAGAAGCAAAATTGAACCATTGTCCAGATCTTTTTTACCTAACTACGCTTTCTACTTTCTTTTTTATGTCATACACTTGCTTCTGGCAATCTATAATCGCTTCTAAGCGACTTTCTTTCTTTTGAATTTGTGCTTTGACATTTTACGATTTTGCGACTGGCAAGCACCCTCGATACGAAATGTCACAGCTTCGTTCTCCATACCATGATCGTTTAAAGCAACGAAACGAAAACAAATAGTGCGATAAAATTGATAAATTTTATTTGGTATAGAAAGGTAATTCGGTGATAGAAAGACAGGATAAACGCGACACAATATTTCAAGTTTTCATTCGTTCTCCCTCGGGATGCACGTTCAGCGCAAGTTAAACACACGCGAGTAGCATAACTTTGAAAATTATGAAGGCACGCTTGTACGCGGTTTATCCTCATTAAGCTCGCCGAGTAAACTTAATTTTAAAGCCGCTGCTGCTAAAAGCTCGAATCTCATTTTTAACGCCGCTTTTAACGTTCATGCGACTATCATTTTTTAATGCATAGCACATAATCCTATCCTAACTGTTGCATCAAGCGCATATGCTCGTTTGGTTAATCCACAAAAAGTGCTGGACTGCAATTTTATATTATAATACTGTCGAAAAACATACACACAAGTATCTCATTAAATAGTAAAGAGAAATATTATAACAAGATCATTGAATTATAGTTATTTGAATGTATATGTTTTTAGTAGCAAACAATTTTATAGAAATAAAACCTTTTTTGATTGATATTACTGATAATATAAACGATTATTTCGAAGGATTACTTTTTTAAGGCAGTTGAGGGAATTGCCTTCTCCCTTCTCAAAAAAGTATTAAATAATTATTTCATGAGTTTTTATAATTTTGAACTGTTTTTGAAATATAAGAGGTGGAAAAACACTTTGTAGACACCCTGTATGTATATGCAATATTGTATAGCAATATACTAAAATGCTTGTACAAAATTTATAAATCTGTTTTCAAGATATCATATTACGCTGATGATTAATCATAGCCCTCTCAGCAGGAAATCGCAGTGAAAAAAATTATCAGAAAAATCACACTTACCTTTAATACAGCTGTGTACATTGCGATGCTAGTAGAGGGTGGTGAGGATTGGCGGTAGGGTGGTCAGGGGGGCTCCGATGCAGGGCGTACCCCTAGTTTCCCCCCTCTGGTCCCCCACCGCCCCCTTGTTGTTGATGCGCAACTGCCGCCGCTGCTGCCGCCGCCTTTTGCGCCTGCGCTTGCTTTTCTTGCTCGTTTAACTCCTTGATCGCTTGAATCTCCTTCTTCAATTTCATTCGTCGATTCTGGAACCAGATCTTGATTTGCCGTTCCGTCAGGCAGAGCGCGTGTGCCATCTCGATCCGCCTCCGCCTGGTGAGATAGTGGTTCGTGTGGAATTCCTTCTCGAGCTCCAGAGTTTGGTAGCGCGTGTAAGTTTGTCGGCCGCGTCTGCGCATTCCGTTCGCCCCTGCAAACAACGAAACAAGAGTTGCGGTGGGTTCTCTTTCTATTCTTTTCTCATGCTATATCTACCCGATTCCCGTAAGAATGGCAAATAAAACAGCGATTGTGAAAATGATATTCTTCAAAAATATGTTAATTGACTCCTAGCTGTCTTAATACAGACACATCGAATCGCGCTTCGAGATGGCGCGTTGAAAGAGAATTTTATTATTTCGCTAATAGTAACACATAAACTATAATCTCGGCGTAAACGTTGTAAAAATATGCAAAATTAAAAAAAAGATCTTAAAATCATTTTCATGTAGAAATAATAAAAAAAATATACATTAGCGAAATAGTTTGATGGAAACTGAGTGTGTAGATTTTGTCTTTCCATTCCTACTGGTTATCTTGTTCTAAAACAAGTTATGTTATCTTTATGAGCTGCCACTTAAGATACTTATTAAAATAGCATTTTAACAAATTTCTGATATCCCGCAGCGCTTTAGGACTGCGAATATCAAACGCGGCGATATAAACAAGGCTCGTGCCGATAAAGGAAATGTGTAAACGGCTTAAAATAAAGCGTGGCATGAGTCGTTCCGAGAGAAAGTAAGGGAGTATACGACAGCGAATAGGTACTGTTGAACAGTCACTTGGGTACAGTAGCGGAGTAAGCCCCGACAGTGGGGGCGCAAGCTCACCTTATCGGCCATTACTGCCTCGTAAAAACCCTCCCGTTTCACCTCTGCCACCGGTATCCAACCTGAACCAACCTCTCTTCTCGGCCGTAAGCAGCCTCCTTTTACTCTATTTTTGCTCGCATACGGTGCGTGCCCAAGTGCATAAATATCCATAATATTACGACTTTCGCTCTATCGGCTTATCCTTCCGCATTCGACTTGGATCGATATATTCCAAAAGTGCAATTAACTAATGACCAAGAATGAAAAATGCATATTACCTCATTTTTATATTTTTCCAACATAACTTCTTTGAAATCTGCTGATAACTACCATCAGCCGAATAACTTACTAAAAACTTCAAATGCACATTAAAAAAGATATTCAACATGACAAAAATTTAAAGACTCACATGTCATCTTATAAAGTTTGCAGCATAGAAAAGGTATATTTTCAAAAATATCAAAGACTGTATAGCGATTTGCTTTCAAGACTAATGCATTTAACATCATGATACAAATCAAATCTAATAAACACTTCGAGTTTACACATAATCGCATTATCCTGATCTGTTATCAAAAGATACAAAATGTACAAAGTTACACGACGCCCAATTGATGTACACACAGTCACAATTCCAAACAGCCATTGTATCCATACAAAGTTTATATCAGCATGATGTTTGTTATCGCGATGTAATCAAGTGCCCCGCCGTCCAGGCTACTATCCCTCCAGGCATCTCTACCCATACTCTTTGTCACCCTGTGACACCCCCGCGATTCTCACGCCAGGTTGTCATATCGGGCTCGCGTCACGTGGAGGGGCGTGGAGTTATGGTGCTGCGTTTTTAACGGTTATTTGTCACACGGACCCCATCGAGAGTCTGGTTCCCTTCTATTGCAGAATCTTCTATCAAACCGTCCTATTATCCCTGGCAGAATCATGTTCTCTCCATGTATTCTATTGGCACGCATTCCGAAATACGAACGTGGTAGAACACGAGAGCAAAAGACTTTTTCAAACTTTATAAATAAAACTATCTTCATTAAAGCAATTTCTTGTATGTATGCAAATAAAAAATATAAAATATAAAATATTATCTATAACACTACTTGCCGTGTATATGTGCATGTATGTTCATTCTCAATAACAAGATTTTGATAGAAAATATACATTCATCTTAAATGAAAGAAAAAAGTCTAACATAAAATAGTAAAGAATAAAACATTAAAAAAATACTTTACTTTCTATGCATTTTTATTTAACTGTTATTTAATAAATAATAATAACTATTTTATATTTTTTTATGTGACAGTTTTACATCTAGATATATTTGTACAAATTTTGCAAAAATACATAATATTTGATGCAGAAATTATTTTTATTTTTTAATCATTTATTTTCGCATTTGCGTGTTTCAAATTCACGAATTACGAATCTCACTCCGCATGACGTCTTATCCATGAGATATCGTACTAAACGAAATTAGGGGATGAAATATCAAGATTACCGTTCTCCTGTGAAGTAAAAAGAGATGCGCATAGCTGTTTAACCGAAGGGGTGGATAAATTTTATGCTGAGACCCTAAAATGCTTTCATTTGGAGGAACAAAGAAAGAGGAGATCGGCAAGGGATGCCGGGAGGGATTGGCTGGTTGAACAGCAAAGTGGGAAAACCGTAGAGCACGTTTAGAAGAGCGAAAAATATTTCGGTCGTTATTCACGCCTTTCTTGAAAAATGTTTGCCCGTATATTCTAAAAAATTTCAACCTCGCGGAAACCTTCGTCCGACAAATTGTTCTTCCAAAGTCTAAGTTATAAAAAAGTTTAAAGTCGTCATGAAACATCATGAGAGAGATCATTTTTTTCTTTTACAAACTCTCAAAATCGTGTACTATTATAAAACTTTTAACTATTTATCAATATATAATTATTAATTCAGTTCATTCCAATCAATCTTCTCAGATTGTTATAAAAAAACATGCTAAAAGAAAAATGTTTAAAAAAAAAAAGAACACTATACAGGAAAGAAACTTGGAACTCGATTGAACTAAAAAAATTTCACCAAGTAATCGAATGTTTTTTTTTCGGCTCGTTGAGAACAGCTTCAAATGCGAAGGGGAATGCCGGTTGAAAGAGATCTGCCGAGTTTCGACGTATTCGACCATAAACTGAGGCAGAGAGCGACTTAACTGGTTGCCAACTCTAACAAGAACAGCCAATACGTTGATTGCTGCTGGGGATTTGCCGGTATAACTTTGCAAAACACGATGCCAAAGCTTGCCTTTAGTAACCCTCACTCCTTTTCCGTTACCCTCCCGACGTATATATACGAAGTCGAATCATACATGGGACCAATCAAATCAAAGTAAGTGAATTGGGTCCATGAAGGACTTCCTCCTGAGATATCTCTTGTAGGCTTACCCCCTCGAATTTCCGCAACGTTGGGCAGTTTTTGTACATAAGTCTGAGGATACATCAATCGTAAGGGATGTATTTCTTGTTTCTAAATTAAATAACAATTACTCCAATAAGAGTTATACGTTTCAGAGCGTTTCATGAAACAGAATCAAATTACATTTTTGAAATATAAAAAAGAAAAATTTTATAAAACAATGCGCGTGAGTGAAGTTAACACCACAACATTAAAATTCCATAGTTCTGAGAGTTCTTAGAGTTCCCGTTTCATTTTCAAGAGACAAAGATGTCTCTATACTTTATAACAATTATAATCATATCGACTGTTATTTTATTTGACAATTCATGCTCCTTTTGAGCGTAACAATATTCCGTCTCATTTGAAGCGCTATAGTCTATTCACGTATCACCAGTTTTGGTCTTCCGGTGCCATCCGGAACGCGCTCACGCTCTCGAAGAACCCTGTTTGCACGCGGCACGGGAGTACCGAGGACACTTGGTATGAGGAACGCGTAGCTACGCAGCAAGATCGTAGCTCAACGTGGGATATACCCTCCTCCAGCCTTGCCAAGGTAGGTAATCCTCTCGGGGGCGTGAGTTACTGCCTAACGTCCCTCGCGTTCTACTCTCTTCTCTCCCACCTTCTTCCATACCTCCCAGGTTCCCTCCCTACGTCCCCCATCCCTTTCACGCTCTACCAGGACCTTCGTCTCGTTTTCTGCCGGGGCATCTCCTCCTTCTCTTTACTCTTTCTCTTTCTCTCTCTCTTTCTCTCCATACTCTCTTTCTTCTCTTAAGGGCTGCTGAGAAAGCACGGGGAGAAAGTTAGCGGACGAGAAGGGAGAAGGTAAGATGTTGCTACGTGGCACAGCTGGAGCGCATTAGTCAACCGTAATTAATAAGTTATATACAACGGAGACTAACGAAGAGCGCGACGCTACACTGCCGAGACATCGTCTCTCTTTTAGGGGAGAGGAAACGCGACCTCTCGGGGTGTGACGACGGAAACCTCAGCTATCATAAATACATGCTAAAAACCTGACGGCATAAATAAACTAAGGGTTGACACTCGCAAATGAGCAACAGCAAAGACGTATATATTTCTTCTACGGCTACCAATAGAATTAGTGGTCAGATAAAACGCTTACAGAATTTAGCTGCTCGTTGTAATGTAATAAACTTAACATTTCTTACGCGCCAGTAGCCAACGAGCAAATAGTTCAAATTATAATAAAATATTTAAAAAGAAAAATACCGAAGTTGAATTTCACGAGATTATTTCAAGTAACTGTATGAAATTATAATTGATAACTTGCAATTACATAAAATTTAAAAATCACTATATACCTATGTCATTTATAAAAAATCTCATCATTTAACAAACATATAAAGAAGATATTATTTTGAAATATATATTTATATGATGGAGAAGATTTATTAATTGCCAATTATCGAGTCATATATTGCGTAAAATGGAGTAATCTTTTCCAACCCCGGGTGATTTTGGAAGGGATGATTTGGTGAACACATTCTTACGTGTAATCATGACCCAATAAAATAATGCAGAATACATTAAGAAAAATTACGCTGACAAGAATGTCAGTAGTTAATGAGACGAACTATAAGAGGCTCGAAAGGAGGAGCCATAGCCTATTTAAGAATAAGATATCAGCTTTACGTGCTAGCACTTTTGAATAACGCACATAACTATGCCGCGAGCAAGGTGGCGGCTTTACTCCCACGCACTGAAGCATTCTATTAATAAGCGAAAATAATGAAAGAGATGACCAAGACTTTCATAACACGGCACAAGTCGTTCGGTAATTTACATTAGTATATATTTTTGTATCTGTAATCATCATTAATATTTTTATGTGTATAATGATAAACAATATTTTCTAACGCTCCTACAAAATCATTCAATA